GGAAGACAGGAGGGGTCTGCCGTGCCCCTGTGGGTCAGCTCCCTGCCCAGGATCAAACTCATGCTGCAGTGGCTGCAGACAGGACAGCTTCATAGCGCTGAGACTTAACCCCTGCACCACGAGGGAGTCGGCCACGTCAACTGTTGAGGTAACCACTAACCTCCATTTTGCTCAACTTTGAGTCCAAGCCCTGTCCTCATGTTTGCGAACATTCTCAGGGTGGTCATACCTTCCTCCTTGGTTTATTTTCTTCCCTTGCTCACAAGACAGCCCGCTTTCACTACTTCCCTCTGGCCGAGTAGCTCCTTCTCAGTCTCTGCTATTTCTTCCTCCTCTTGCTTTAAACACTGGCAAATTTAGGGCTCTGTCCTTGATCCCTTCTTTATCTCTCTTTCCTCATTCTTTTGGTGACAGACTCCTAAATTTACGTATGCTCTAGGCTGGACCTCACATCTGAACTCACTCATCTAGTCACCAATCCTCTCAATACTTCCACTTGGAAATCTATCAGGTCCCTCAAGTGTCCAAACCCAAGTCCTGGTGGCCACTCTCCCTGTACTCTTCACTTGCAATCCATCTAATTGCAATAAATGGAAATTTCATCCTGGCAGCCTCTCAGATCAAAACGTTGCAACAATCAGGTTTGACTCCCTGCTTCCTCTCACTCCCAACACCCAATCCGTCAGCAGGTTCTGTCAGCTCTACCTTCAGATATATGCAGATTCTAACCACGTCCCGCCACCCCCTCTGCTGCCACCCTCGTGAAGACACCATCATCTCTCATTTGAATTATTTTTTAAATCTTTGCTTTAAAAGGTTTTTTTTTTTTTAGGTGAAAGCCACGTAAGATAAAAGGAACTATTTTAAAGGGCACAAGTCAGTGGTATTTAGTACACTCTCAATGGTGTGAAGGCATCATCTCTGTCTAGTTCCATAACATTTCCATCATCCCCACAGCAGACCCCACATCCATTAAACAATGATTCTCCATTTCTCCCCCACATCACCCAGCACCACTGACATGCTTTCTATTTCTATAGTTCATATGAACACAATCATACAATGTCTGGCCTTTGGCCTTAGGCTTCTTTCACACAGCATGATGTGTCCAAGGTTCATCATGGCATGTCGTGGCACACCACCCCTTTTCAGGGATGAATAGTATTCCACAACGTGACCACAATCTTTTGTGTATCCATTCCCCTATTGGTGGCTGTTTGGGTTGCCGCCAACCTTTGGCTATTATGAATGGTGTTGCTATGAATATGCAGGTCTTTGAACACCAATTTCAATTCCACCCACAAGTGGAATTGCTGGCTCTGGTAATTCTATTTTTCACTTCTGGAGTAACCACCAAAGTGTTTTCTATAGGTTGCCACTTTACCCCTTTCAAATTATTTCATTAATTTGTAAATTATCAATGGCCTATTGATAATTATTAACACAGCCACCAGCCTGACCACTTAAGAGGGAGTAAAGTAATGTCCCTGTTGCTCTTCACCTCCAATGAATCCATCTCGCTCAGAAGAAAACCCAAAGATGTCAAGGGGAACTATGAGACCTTGTATGACTTGACTTCGGGCTCCCTCCAGGACAGCATGCATGCGATGCCTACTCCCTCAATACTGAGCTCCCTGCTGATATAAAAGTATCGGACATGCACCCACCCCAGCCCTTTGTACTCACTCGCTCCTTTTTCCTGGAACACTCTACCCCTGGACACATGAGACTGCCTCCTTCACTGACTGAGGTCTTTGTTCTAAACCAGCTTCTCCAAGACATTCCTCAACCATCCTGACCCCCTACTCTGCTTTATTCTCTTCACTTGTCACCAATTTACTGCTTTTTTCACTTTCGCAAAGGTGTGGACTCTGTTTATTCACTAATGCTGCTAAGCCCAGCAACCAGAAAAGTGCCTAGAATACAGCAGGTGCACCAAAAAAAAAAAAAAAAAAAGCTTGAATGAATGACTGAATCTCCATCTACATGTGAAGAAAGTGAGGTTTATAAAATGGCACAGCTTGTGTGTGTGTGTGTGGGGTGGTCCACAGCTTGTAAGAAGAAACCTGGGATACTAGTCTAGGTCATGATGGAAAAACCCAAGTTCTAAGCCTGGACCCCAAGTTCTAGGCTGTCTTGGAAACTTTCTCCCTGGACCTCCTATAACTGTTCAAGTAAGACTTTTATTAATACTCAACTTACAGGTGGGAAACGTCATACCCAGAGAGGAAAGGGTTCTCCAAAACCAGTGGGTGGCAATGTCAGGACTGGCTATTATGTTTTGGGGCAGGACTTCCAGTAGGCACCTCTGGCACATAGTGGCACTCCAGAGGTGCACAGAATGATGTTGGGGAGGGGTTGTAGCAAAACACAGGTAAGCTTTAGGTCCCAGGCTTGCACAGCCTTCCAGGGGCCCAGTAATGGGGGCGTTTGTTTGGTGTTTTGGGGGAAATTCACAAATGGAGATCACCTCTTTTTCCAGTTCTACTTCCTCTCTATTGTATAGCTCTACATCATGGGTGGTATTGGTGTCCAGTGGAGTAGAAGCTACATTTGGTTGGGTTTCATGGGTGGAATAGTTTAATGTGGTTCATAGCTACTTTTAGAAATGCTTCAAAGGCCTAACTGGTCATTCTGGAACATTTCAGGGATGTTCCTGTAGTCAAGAGTTCATGTAGTGATGAACCCTTTAGATAGTGGTGGTCCCCATGGACTAGTACCATCGCTTAGGTGGGTAGCAGGTGTGTCATTTAGATTCATGTAATTTCACTCTGTGATATTCGCACAGTGACAAAAGTGCCCATATGAATCTCTCAGGCCATATCCCCATCCCATGTTATTATCCAAGGTGCTAACCTGCTTGGTGCCAGGCCTCAGTCTATTATGGCACAGACATTTTCTCCAATGGCCCAGTCCAGAAGCACTGGAGTAATGGAAGCAAATTCCAAATTAAACAGACTCAGGCAGAAGTAGCCTGTGGTAACATTTTCTAGAACATGGAGCTACCATGAATTTAATGAAAGTTTGTACACATTCCCCCAACACGCAGATGATTTCACCAATGTCAACTGGTAAAAATGAATGGCCTGCTAAGTTATAATAACAGAAAAATTTCCATCAGGCAAAGATAATTTACTTCTCTCTTCCCTCTGTAGATAAAGCTATTATGAAACAAATCAATGCAGCTGAAAAGTAGGCAACATGTCAGAGGTGTGTCAGGCAAAAGTTAATAAAAACATTACGTTATCTTTGGGGATTTTGCAATATTTGTGCTATTTGTCAGCCCTTCTAAAGATGTAATTTGTTATTTTTCATATTCTAAGTAATTTGTCCTGTGCATACCTAATTTCGTGTTTCTTTTCTCAGGTCCAAGTACTAAGCAGGCCAACCTTACTTTTCACGTGCATGCAGGGTGGTCTGGCCATGAACTTTTCTGAAAGAACTGAACACTCTCCGACTCCCTCACCAAGTTCTATAAACTGTTTCCGCCCTGTTGACTCATTGGCCAAAATCGGGAGCCTTCAAGCTGTGTGATCTTGGCCCAGTGGCTATACCTCTCTGACCCTGTTTCCTTGGTGACAAAATTGGCATAATAGTGCTTATATTACAGGGTGGCTGTTAACTTCAAATAAGCTGAGGCCGGCAGAGCCTTTGCAGACTTGGAACGCAGGCTGAGTGATGATGAACCTCAAGCTCTTTACATTAGAACTTTCCCGCAGCTTCCGCACTGTCCAGCGGATATGAACGCCCGCGGTTCTCCCCACCTTCTCTCCCGGTGGGCGGGCCTACTCGCCGCTGCGGGCGGTGGGCGGTGCCAAAGGTTACTTCCGGGGTTCCTCCCCCTCCAGGGACCAACCCTCTTGGAATGATTGGCATAGCTATTAGCCAGTAATGACTGGAGAAAGAATCGCGGCTCCAACCCACGTTGAAACGTGGCTTCCGAGTTGGCTAATTGCAAGCTTTGAAGAGGTGGAGTCTTCTCTGGGGCGGGCCCAGGTGACGAGCGTCTGTTTTGACTAATGGAAACTTGGCGGCGAGTAAACCAGGACCAATCAGAAGCGAGAAGGCAGGGTCCTGGGCGGGGTTGGCGAATCGGCAGTTGAACCGCTCGCGAGAAGGGGTGGCCGCGGAGGTGAGAGGCGGCGGAGTCGGCGGGTGCGCGGGCCCGGCGGGAGGTCCCGGCGGGGGGAGGGGGCTCCAGCGGGGAGCGGTGGGCTGCGGCGGGCAGCCGACCCGGCCATGTGGGGCCTGGGAGCGGGGATCGGGCGCTGTAATGAGGGAATGTGAGGCACCGGGCGCTGTGTGAGGCGGCGGGTGTTTGGTGTCTCGCAGGAGCGAGTTTCATGGGGAAAGTGTGTAAAGCCGGAGACAGCAGGTGGCACGGGGCAGACAGGCCTCTTCCGCCGCCCGCGGGACACGTCGAGGCCGGGGTTATCCCAGCGCAGCGTGTTGGGGCTGAGGTCCCGGATGCTTCGCGTGGAGGCAGCGGAGGACGCAGGGGGAGGGTGTGCCCCGAGCCTTCCAGTGTGCACCTCAGTCAACTCGGGACAGCCTTACCAACCCCGGGGTACCCCGGAGCGCGTGCTCGGCCGGGATGCCTGGGTCTGCACGCAGGCTCTGGCCGTCGGATTAGCTCCGGAGCAGTGCCATCTCTTCTCTGCCCGTGCCACCACACTGCGGCCTCACCCAGTGTCAGCTTTCAGGTGGTCTTTGAGGCCTCTCCAGGCCCATACACCCCAAGGCCACTCTTCTCTCCTTGAAAGTCCAACTGGCACCCAACTGATCTCAAACGAAACTTGTGGTCTCCCCTATCCCGTACCAAACCCAGCTGGTGGCAGTTCCATCCTTCTGGATACTCAGGACAAAAGCCCTGGACGCCTCCCGCCTATGATCTGTCAATCAGCAAAGTCCCTGGGATCTGCCTTCAGAAACACTTCTGAGATCCACATCTCTTGCCACTCTGTGCCAGGCCATGACCTGTTCTTACCTGGTCTGCTGCTGTGGCCTCCTCACTGGGCTGCCTCTGCCCACCCCCCACAGACTGGGGATCCTGTTAAAACAAAAGTCAGACTGTGTGGCTCCCATCTCCTGCCTAAAAGTCCTTCCTGGGCCTGCCAGGCTTCCACCTGGGCCTGACCCCCCCACCCATGCCCTTGACTCCTGCCATCTGCACCCCCCTCCTCTGCGTCAGCCATCTGGCCTCTTGGCTGTCCCTCAAACACAGCAATGCATTTCCACCTCAGGGCCTTTATACTTGCTGTCCCCACTGCCTAGGTTACTTGTCACCCCCAGGTTATCTCTAGGGCTTCTCCCTCTTCTCCAGGTCTCCTTTCAGAGGTCGGGCCCTTGCTGACCATCCACTCCCTGGCCCCTTGCCCCTGGCTTTATTTTTCTTCATAGCACTTAGCACCACCCAACAGAGATTTCGTGTTTGTATCTACTGGCTTCTTAGCGCCCACTCACGCGCTGATGTGTGAATGGGAGTCAACCCCTGAAGAGTGCACTGGTGCTTATGGGGCTCAGTTCTACGGTAACACCATTACCACCTTTTCTTGGGGCTTCCCTGTGGTACCTAGGGTTGTTGAACTGGGAGCGCTTTGGGTTGGGGGATAGGGTGGGAGGTAAGTGATGATGGCCTGGGACAGATGCTCTCAGCTCACATGGTACTGGGAGAGCTGGCAGGAGATGCAGATTTCCGGGCTAAAGGTCTGCGGCCCTCCCTTGGAGAAGCAGGCTGGTTCAGAGCCCGTCTCATCATTAAACCCCTCCTCAGTGGCCCACCCTTTACTGGGCGGTGCTGCAGATACTCTAGTGACCCAGATAGCCCTTTACCCAGCTTCGGAGTCCCCGAGGGCTGACTGCGAGAGGGGACACTGGAGCTGAGACCTGGGGGTGGCAAGGGCTGCGGTGAGGGGAGAAGACCTAGGCTTTCTCTCATGCCTAGAGCCCGCGTCCAGCTTTGTCCAGCTTTGTCCATTAATGAATGAAGCAGCCACTGAGCTGTCAGGCTCAGGGTGCTGAGGTAGAAGAACCAGCAAAATGGCTCTGCTTTCAGGGCCTACTCATCATCAACCGGTGCTCAGATGGGAGCAGCTGACCAAGAGCCAGGCTGTTGAAGCACCTTTCACGTCTCCCTGAATTTAACCCCCATGATAGTCCTGTGAGGTGAGAGCTCTTATCCCCAGAGAGGGTGCCTTGCTCAGGGTGGCGCTGAGGGCAGGTGGTGGAGCCGGTCTAAGCCCATGTCCCTAGGCATGTGCCTGCTTAAGGTGGGGCCACATTTGGATTAGTTCTGGGAGGCAAAGGAGCGACAGCAAGGGAGGGCATGGGAGGAGTGGGTGGCCAGGGAAGGGCAGCTGGGTAATGAGCAGGATAAAGGGTCCAGAGTTCCAGGCCTGCCCTCACTACTGGGCCCTAGGCAAGCCTGTGTCCATGGGCAAGGGCTGGGGGCTGGTAATACCTACCTGAGAGCAAAGTTGACAGTCACTGGTTGATAGGTAGCAGGGTCCTTACCTAAGACAAAAAGTAGTTGAGGGACATTGGGGAGGGGTCTGGACACCCCAGAGGTTGTGATGGGCAACGGCATGGGCTCTGGAGGTCAGGATTGTGGATTTTCTACAGGGTTGTTATACCTGGTTGTTCCAGGGGTCAGAGGAGAGACTGGTCTGTATGGGGAGCGGGGTGCAGGGTGTAGGGAAAGGGCATTCGATCCAGCCCCAAGTTGCCAAGTGGGCTCAGAATGGGGTCTGGGGAGGGCAGGGCATAGCCATTGGGGCCCTCCAGGGTAAGTGGGGAGGAGGGGTGCTGCAGAGAGTGGGCAAGCCACTGTGGGGTGGGGGCAGCCAGGGGTGGCGACTTTCCAGAGTCCAGTGGGGGAGGTGGTGATGTGGAATTTTCTTGGGGAGCCAGTGAGGAGTTTCAGTGCTGGCTTTGGGGTGAGGGCTGTGAAATCTGAGATAGCGGGAGAGTGCAGTTTTGGAGGAGGAGCCACGGGTGGTGATGTAACCCTGGAAATGGAGAGGGGTCACCTTAGTGAGATGAGAGGGAGGTGGTGGGCAGGAAAGATTCTGTGTGCGCAGGCACGCGCCTGTACTTGTGTGCTGAAGCCGAGATGTCATGAGGCCCGCAGCGGGGTCAGGTGTGTGGGCCGGGATGGGGCACTGGGGCTCCAGACCCAGCAGAGCCGGACTCGCCAGTTGAGGGGTCACGTCATGGCGGGCGGGGCCTGAAGGCGTGGCTGGGACGCTGGTCCGAAAGCTGAGGTGGAGAGTAGCCGGGAGAGACTCCGGACTGGAATGAAACCAGCGACCAGGATGGGCCAGTGGCCACAGAACAAGGGTGGAGGATGCAGGTAGAAGGACTGGGGTTGGGGAGGAGGGCGGGAGAGGCTGAGGAAGCTCAGAAAGGGGGGACAAGGCTTTTCCACACGAAAGAGGTCAGAAGTGGGGATAGGTGGAGGGGGGTTACATAAAATTCGGGAGGGGGTAATTCAGATGAAATATGGGTATTATGGAATACAGGGTGATCCAGGTGAAATTCGGGGGTGATGGTGACAGAAAATTGTGTGTGGAATAGAACCTTGGGCAAATGTGGGGCGAAAATTTCTGGTGGAATATGGGGGAACCCCAGGAGAACTCAATTCCTGGTGTAGGAAAAAGGGGAGTACAGCCCCCTCCCATCCCCAAAAGGGAGGGCCGGGTGGAGGTAAGAAGATGGG